ACCCTAAGGGACCCCAAGGGACCCTGGCATTGCAAACCCTCCAAGAGGGCAAGGAACCAAGGGCAAGTGGCAAGGAGGAGAAAACATCCCCGCAGCTGCATTTGGTGCATTTCCATTTGGATCCACTGGCGCATTAATGCTCCCCTTTGCACAACACAAAGCCGGTGCCGCTCACACAGGTCTCCGCAGGCAGAGCCTCCCAGACTTTGCCCTTGTTTTCGAAAGCATAAGCGCTCTCTTTGTGTGGATATATATATATGAGCAGGTCCTGACCCTGTGAGCAAAGCTTCAGCTGATGAATTATCCCAATTAACCAAGCCTGCAAACAGAGCCTTTGTTTCCTTCCTCGGTCTCTGCAAGGCCAAGCGGTTCACTATTTTGGGGGACTGCCATGGAAGGCCAGGCGCCATAGGGCTAAGCTTCAGAAAGAGGCAAGGGCAAAGCTGCCCAAGAAAACCCTCTGAAATTCATGGAGCGGCCATCCATTGACAGGCCCATCATGCACATTGCAATTAAGTCACATTTCCATGGGTCTCTTCCTCCTCACACTTTCTCTACATTGCAGAGAAGAAACAGGCCAGGATCCTGGGCTGGGGCTGCGCCTTGTAAATCTCCACAAGTAGAGCTAAAGCTTGTGTTGCATTGTTGTTGTTGATGTCGTGTGTCTTCAAATTGTTTTTGATTCGTGGCAACCCTATGGTGAACCTATCATGGGGTTTTCTTGGCAAGTTTCTTCAGAGGAGACTTGCCATTGCTGTCCTGTGAGGCTGAGAAAGTGTGACTCGCCCAAGGTCGCCTGGTGGGTTTTGTGGCCGAGCAGAGATTTGAACCCAACACTCAAACCACTGCACTATGCGGGCTCTCTTGGGTTGCGTCAGGCAATCCTATTGTTAAATGCAACAGAATGCACAACTGGCTGTGCAATGGAATACGCAGCAAAATGCACAAACAAAATCAGGACTGAATTGTTTTAAATGTAGCAATAGTTTAATAATAATTTTAATCTTGATTTTTGTAGGAATCTAGCTACATGTGACTTTATTTATCTTCCTTTTAATCTGTAAACCGCCTGGAGTTCATGCCTTGGATGGAAGTCACAGGAAAAATAAGTCTGACTTTGGGAACTCCCTCCCTTCGGATGCTCTGCTCTTGGGCCCCAACAAACTACAATTCCCAGAATTCCATAACATTGAAACGTGGCAGTGAAAGTGGTGTCAAACCATATTATTTTTGCAGTGCAGATGCACCCTTGGTTTCACGGCCCAAAGGATGCTACGGACAGGAGGTTTGCACCATTCTGACTCTGTCCAAGAACTGAGGCACCCGGGAAGCTTGTTATCGGATCGCTTTATAACTCTGTTTTCTTGCTTTTCTATTTATGGTGACTTATTTCACTCCATTTCTCCATCGGTTTGAAATTGGTCCCAGAGGAACCAGATCACCACAGGAACCACATTTGGTCTCCATTCCCAGAGGTGCTCCATCTCTGTTTGTAGGTCTCCACTTTTCATCATCTTTTCTTGCTCTTTGTCTTCTGTTATCTCCAGGGATTGGCATCTCTATATTCCAAACATTTTATGTTATGTTTGATATACTCCAAATGTTTGATTCTTAAAGAACAGTAGGATTGTTTTACTTCTTCGTTTTCCAATGATTTTCTTTGTCGTCTTCCATCTGAAGTTGGTAACTTATATTTTGTCCTGGTGTTTCTTATATTCAGCTGATGCAATTTTGCTGCATAAACGAATGAGGCGGTCAACAGTT